CCCCTTCTCCCTTTCTAGTACTAGATATAAAAAATTCAACGAACCTTCTTCCCATTTTTTGTCAAAATCAACAAGAGATTTCTCGAATTCCTCATTCACATCAAGCAGCGGTCGAGTTCGCGCAAGGAAATTGATCAGGTATTCTTTTAGGACATTCAGATATTCACGATAGCTGCCTGTTTTTTTCGAACTTATTGGAATTTCGGCGAAACGATCGAAATTGCTCAGAAATGTCAGATAGTCAACTTTCTAGAACAACAAAAAACATTCATTAAAATTTCAACAACTCACCGATATCAAGTAAACTTTGACCTTAACAACAAACATACACAGCATACTAGCAAATGTCTTCTATTGCAAAATTTGCAATAATTCGAAATGGAGGTAAAAACCATTGTACCACTGCACATTCATAAGCTGAGAGCTCTCAGTTTTACCTAAGCATCAGTTTCATCCTATTCAGAAATTCACTCTTTCTGCTTTCTTTATTAATTAATATGACCGACAGCGACTGGTGTGAAGTGGTAAAAACCACTGTACCACTGTATATTCATAAGCTGAGAGCTCTCAGTTTTACCTAAGCATCAGTTTCACCCTATTCGGAAATTCACTCTTTCTGCTTTCTTTCATTAATTAATATGACCGATAGCGACTGGGGTAAGGGGCAAAAACCACTATACCACTGCACATTCGTAAGCTGAGAGCTCTCAGTTTTACCTAAGCATCAGTTTCACCCTATTCAGAGATTCACTCTTTCTGCTTTCTTTACGAATTAATATGACCGATAGCAAGTGGGGTGAGGGATAAAAACCACTGTACCACTGTATATTCATAAGTTGAGAGCTCTCAGTTTTACCTAAGCATCAGTTTCACCCTATTCGGGAATTCACTTTTTCTGCTTTCTTAATTAATATGATCGGTAGCGAGTGGGCTGAGATGGTGTTGCTCAATGCATAAATAAAAAGACATCTCGAAAAGGTACCAGTCATATTAGTGATGCAAAAAGCTGAAAAAGGCAAGTATAATTTCTGGAAAGCGACAACCTTAATTCCTTTAATATTGACGTATTTCTCATAAACTGCATGCATGTCCAAAAAACGCCCATAGCTCTCCTCGTCGGTGAAGTCAATCAATTCTTGCTCGGCCAATTCGAGATTTTCAATTGCTTCGTTCATTTTTTGAAATTCCAGACTCAGCGGTACCGCGATCTGGAAGAATTACACATTGTTGAAGCAAACCGTGAGAGGAGGATCTGTCATCTTTGCCACATGACCAGCCCAGCTTCTCTCCCTGCTTATGATCTCGGTACTCTGGCGACGCCTTTGTTCGTCGTTTTCATTGGTACTATTGCCCTGACTCGGCGATTTCCATTAAGTCGTCCACCTTTGCCTGTCTTTTTTTCCTCTTAGTTGCCACTGCTTCAGTACCAAGAATACCAAGACCGTCTGAGTTATCAGTGCGAGAGGAAGGACGTCAGTTGGGATGAAAACGGTGCG